AGATGATTGTGGATATTATGAATGAAAAGAAGCTGGACGTCCTAGCTTTAAGTGAAACATAATTTAGGAGGCGGTATGGAGTTACTGAAAGTATTAGTCAGAGGGCTGAAGAGGGGTTGTTGAGGTGGTTTAGTAATTTAGAAAGAATGGAACAAAATAGAATGACTTGGAGAGCATATTAATCTGTAGGGGAAGGAAGGTGGGGTAGGGGTCATCCTTAACAAGGTTGGAGGGAGGGGGTAAAGGAGGTTCTGTGGGCAAGGGGCTTGGACTTCCAGCAAGTATGCATAAGTGTGTTAAATAGGAGTGAATGGAGACAAATGGTTTTTGGGACCTGACGAGCTGTTGAAGTGTGAGCAGGGTAATATTTTGTGAATGGATTCAGGGAAACCGGTTAGCCGGACTTGAGTGTTAGAAATAGGAAGTACAATGCCTACACTTTAAAGGAGGGGTTTGGGATATTGGCAGTTAGGAGGGACTTCTAAACTGTCGTATCTGAGCGGCTCTGCAAAGACAGTGATTATATATAGGTGATGGTGAAAATGTTGAATGACAGTGAAAGTATTTTTCTTTCCTTTTGGGTTTTTCTTTCTTTTTTGGGTCACCCTGCCTTGGTGGGAAATGGCCTATACAGCCTCTCCTCACTTAACGACAGAGTTCCATTCCTAAGACCACGTTGGTAAATGAATTCGTCGCTAAGTGAGGAGCATACTGTAATGGTAGTGAGCTTGTATCGACCAGCTTTGGTATTGTTTTAATGTCATCTTTGCACCATTTATAACATTTCTGGTACATATATTTTTAAATGTTTATACAGTAGTATACATTATTTTGGTATGCTTTCTGGTCAGAGAGCCTGTCATAAGTCCGAGTCATCACTAAACAAGTACATCGCTAAGCTAGGAGAGGCTGTACAACAAAAAAGTGGCCCTTTCCGTGTGTTCATGCCTCAATTTGTTGTGGTCTCAGCTCACGCACCAGGAGACTGAGTTTGTCCCTAGATGGGTTGCAGCATCAGTCATGTGTCCTTAAACTTGCTATCCCTGTTCACCTAACAGTGAGTAGGTGCCCCAGTTGTCAGCTGGCTGGTGTGGGTATCATCCTGGGAAGATTAAAAGACCCTAGGGGTAATAAGCCAAACAATCTGATGATAATAGCTTTATTATGTTATCTAAGGTATCTAATATTCTGGGCTAATAATCTAAACAAAATTTTCTATACAAAAACACTTTTCAACCACTTTTTCTTTAAAATTTACTTGTTATACTGTATTTGGTCTAATGTAGAAGCATTGTCATATTTCATTAAATTTTAAAACATGGCTGGCTATGTGTATTCTTAACTTTAAAAATTTCTATTTTCATTAGATATAACATCAATTTATGTCATGCTTTTCAGGTCGGTTTGACTTTATTGGAGCTTCACATCAACTCTGGCACTTGATCATTATAGCTGCTTTAGTGTACTGGCACCAGACAGGTTTGGAGTATGCTCGCTTCAGGCTCACCTATGGATGCAACACAGTCTTCATTAATCAGTGAAATGTTTACTACTTACTTGAAGGAAGACAAATTGCAGCTATATTAGTAAGGCAGATGTAACGAGGTACCAGAAAAAGTTGATGCATATGTTAACAGGCAAACATTAATTTACCAGTACATTACCTATAAGGATTTTTAGTATGTGAGGATATGTGAGGACTGTACTTGTTATAAGTAGAGTTGTTTGATGAATGGCAGATTTGTTGCTGTGTAACACTATTTGGTTGTTAAACATGGCTGTGATAGTTACTGTGTGGTGGTAGATTTAATCATTCTAGAATTGGCTTTGAAGACATTCAGTGCTCAACAGCCTTCTCAGTATTACCGGTAAGATTGCTAATGATAATCAAACCCAAGTCTTCCATGATATGCCTACCTCGAAACATCTGATTCTGATGATACTTTGTGTGAATACTATAGATGCAAGATAGTGATAGAGTACAGTAGGGCCAAGACTTACAATGTTCCAACATACAATGTTTCACACTTCAGACATTAACACTTTTGAACTAATTAATTACTTATAAACTTTTTTTTTTTTTCAACAAGTCGGCTGTCTCCCACCGAGGCAGGGTGACCCAAAAAGAAAGAAAATCCCCAAAAAGAAAATACTTTCATCATCATTCAACACTTTCACCTCACTCACACATAATCACTGTTTTTGCAGAGGTGCTCAGAACACAACAGTTTAGAAGCATATACGTATAAAGATACACAACATATCCCTCCAAACTGCTAATATCCCAAAACCCCTCCTTTAGAGTGCAGGCATTGTACTTCCCATTTCTAGGACTCAAGTCCGGCTATATAAAAATAACTACACAAAAAACTTATGAATACTGAATGGCAAAATTGGACCGAAATATTGTTATAAGTTTCAGTCTCCTAAGTGTGGGCTTTTATGCATTGTTCCAGTCAATAATGAATGAAGAATAATGCATGGTGTTGTGCAATTTTCTTTTCTATATAAAAAGAGGTTAATTTTCTGCATGTAATAAGACCAAAAATAAATTTAGGGTTAGTACTTGTTAGGTAAGACACATATGCAACAGTTAGGTATCTTAATTTCGAAACGTTTCGCCTACACAGTAGGCTTCTTTAGTCGAGTACAGAAAAGTTGATAGAAGCAGAAGATACTTGAAGACGATGTAATCAGTCCATCACCCTTAAAGTTTTGAGGTGGTCAGTCCCTCAGTCTGGAGAAGAGCATTGTTCCATAGTATGAAACAATATGGAGATGAAGTGACAGGATGGAGCCTTATATAGCGCCAGGAGGTGAGACGTAGGTCACTAGAAGAGGTAAGAACGCAGATGTTGGGAGGTCAGGTCCCTCTCAAATCCAGCCGTTCTCACTAGTAGAGGTTGTTGAAGTTGATTGCAGGTCTGTACTTACTGAGATATAAGGTGACGAAGTTGACACCAGATGCTCACATGAAGACAACATGGGGTCCTGCTGCTTGCAGAAGTGCTCCAGATACACTTTTTTTTTTCTCTTTTTTTTTTTTTTTTTAATTTCCATTGTTTTTATGTTCTGAAAATTACAATATATAGTAGATCCTGTGATTTCATAGCCAGTCATTGTTCTTGCACAAATATTAGGTTCAGAAATAGTAATTAACAGTCATAAAGGCACTGACTGGTGAACTTATTCACCTGCCTCAGTCACATACTATTGTCTACATTTTTTTTATTATTAACACATCAGCCGTCTCCCACCAAGGCAGGGTGGCCCGAAAAAGAAAAACTTTCACCATTCACTCCATCACTGTCTTGCCAGAGGCATGCTCACACCACAGTTTTAAAACTGCAACATTAACATCCCTCCTTCAGAGTGCAGGCACTGTACTTCCCATCTCCAGGACTCAAGTCTGGCCTGCTGGTTTCCCTGAATCCCTTCATGAATGTTACCTTGCTTACACTCCAACAGCACGTCAGGTCCTAAAAACCATTTGTCTCCATTTGCTCCTGTCTAACACGTTCATGCACGCTTGCTGGAAGTCCAAGCCCCTCGCACACAAAACCTCCTTTACCTCCTCCCTCCAACCTTTCCTAGGCCGACCCCTACCCCGCCTTCCCTCCACTTCAGAATTGTATACTCTTGAAGTCATTCTATTTTGTTCAATCCTCTCTACATATCCAAACCATATCAGTTACCCCTCCTCAGCCATCTGGATAATAGTTTTGGTAATCCCACACCTCCTCCTAATCTCCAAACTATGGATTCTCTGCATTATATTCACACCACACATTGCCCTCAGACATGACATCTCCACTGCCTCCAGCTTTCTCCTTGTTGCAACATTCACAACCCATGCCTCACACCCATACACAAGTGTTGGTATAACTATACTCTCATACATTCCCCTCTTTGCTTTCATGGATAGAGTTCTTTGTGTCTACAGATTCCTTTTATGCACCATTCACCTTTTTCCCCTCATCAATTCTATGATTCACCTTGTCCTTCATCGACCCATCTGCTGACACATCCACTCCCAAATATCTGAACACATTCACCTCCATACTCTCTCCCTCCAATCTGATATCCAATCTTCCAAATATATACAAGGTTATTTAAGGGTTCCAGCAATGTTTTTAGAAGTGCTGGAGTATATGAAACTCATTGAAGTATGGTGTCAGACAGAGTGGCACTCCACATTGCTGATGGTGCACTGCACTATCAGCACTGCCTCCAGTGAACCTTGGCATAGGTTTTCTATTTGTTCTCACTGTTCCACAAGCATAAGTATGACTGTGGCAATGAATAGATACAGGAGGCCCTCCACATTCGCAAGGGTTAGGGAATCAAGAACCTCGTGAATCTTGAAAATTTGCGAGTGTTTGGTGCGCAGATATGATGTAGGGAATGTTTTGATGCGCAAATATATTGTAGGGAAATATAATAATAGCAATATAATAATATTGTATATACATGTTATGGTTTAATAACAAATAATGAACAAACAAAACGCTCACCACTCGTAAGGTCAGGCAGACGAACTTTGACGACTTGTGATGATGATGACAATGACGACGATGATGGTGATGATAGCCATGCAGTTACTGACGACAGTTGAATGGAGGTGATTATATGGCATGATGAGTCTAGTGTGTGGATTCTAACTCTTCACTGCCAGCATCACTGCTGACATCGCTAGAGTCAGAGTTAGCAATGGAGTCAGATTCTGCCATAGGTTGAGGTTCAGGTGAGGCAGTAGGGGTAGTGTAGGGAATTATGCTCCTATCAATGTCGCTCATCACCTTCAAAGCCCTCAACATCGATGGGTCTTTGTCATAAAAAAATTGTTTGAGCTGTGCTGTCATTCTCATCACTTGCCCTAGTTTTTCAAGGGTGAGGGCTTGAGGTTGATTGGCCTCAGCAACACTCTTCTCTTCTTCATCATTTAGGCCCAGTGCATGTTCTTCAACCAGTTTTCTCATCTCGCCCCTCTGCATGTCCTCGAACCCTTCACCCACATTTGTTTGGTAAATACGATTGGGTGGCTGGGCATTCGTGTATGTTTGAAGCTCGCAAAAGTGGAGGGCTAGCTGTACATTTAGGCCACAAAAAGTTTTATACCAAAGCAGTTACATTTGGTTGGTATATATATATATTGCCTGAATGACAGGCATTCACTGACCTGAATCAAGGGCTCTGATGTAAGTTTATTTAGGCACAGGTACACAAAAAGTACAATTATCATTTTTTTTTTTTTAACGTGTTGGCCGTTTCCCACCACTACCATAAAATATTTTCCTTCTGAGCTTATAGTGAGTGGTGAATATATTTATTATAGGAAGTCTGAATAAATGAGGAATGGGTATAACTGAAAACAACTGCATTAGCACAACACCGTAAAGTCAAGCACTGTAAAGCAGGACCTCCCTGTACGCATTCAGAGATACTAAAGGTATAAATTTGTTGTCAGATATTTAAGAATCCAAGAGAGCACGAATTACAGAGCCTACTGCCAGTTATAGTTTAAGAAACATCTTGTCCATGAGACTCAAGGATTGCTAAATAGCCAACCTTCCTAAAGTTGAAAGATTATTCTGCTGCTTGGCTTTTTTTTTTTTTTTTTACAAAATATATGCCACATGCCACCTAGCTGCAAATCCCTGATCCAATCAGTTGGTCAGAGAAACCATGGAATGGGTGAGGTTTGAACTTATGGCAAGTGAGGATCTTTAAAATGAAATGTAATAACAGAGCAGAATACTGAAATGTTAACTACTGTATATCATGTATTTAGAGGAAGTACTGGCTTGGGAATATTTCATTATTTAAGATTGTATATTAACCCTTTGAGGGTTTCGGACGTACTAGTACGGCTTACGACCCAGGGTTTTTGACATACTAGTACGCCTAAATTCTAGCGCCCTCAAATCTAGTGGGAGAAAGCTGGTAGGCCTCCATATGAAAGAATGGGTCTATGTGGTCAGTTTGCACGGTATAAAAAAAATCCTGCAGCACACAGTGCATAATGAGAAAAAAAAACTTTGACCGTTTTTTTGGAATAAAACAGCGACTTTGCACTGTATTTTCGTATGGTATTTATTGTTGTATTCTAGTTTTCTTGGTGTTATTTTATAGAATGGAAGGCATATCATAGAAATTGAGATGATTTTGACTGGTTTTACAATGAAAAGTACCTTGAAATTGAGCTCAAAGTAGCAGAAATGTTCGATTTTTACCAAAGTTCAAAAGTAAACAAATCATGCCAAGCGTTCAATACACGTCAACTGGTGAGTCTGATATTCTTTTGCAAGTGCGCCAATATGATTCATACCATTTTTTACACTAATGCAGTAGTTTGCATAACAGTAAATCTTCTATTTTTTGTGAGAATAAAAATTCAAAGTGGAAAGCAAAAGAATGTAAGTGGGGCCTTGAGACATGGCTAATGAACAGAGGAAATGTCATTTTAGTGCCAGGAATGTATTTCTTGTTTGTTCTGGACCCTATTCGGAAATTGGCATCTTTTGAAATTTGTGTGAAATTGGCAAAATTGCTAAATTCTGACCACTGTACTGGATAGTTGAAATTGGTAAATGGGTGGTTTCTTGCACTCATTCAATAGAAAAAATGGAGTTCTAGCGAAATATTCATGTTTTTTGTCGACTAGTACAGTGGAACTGGCCGAAAATGGGGCTCAAAGTGGGCAAAATCGCCGATCCGTAAACATCGCCGAGACCGCTAACTTCGCGAGAGCATAATTCCGTAAGTTTTCCATCAAATTTCATATTTTTGGTGTCATTATGATTGGGAAAAGATTCTCTATCTTTTCAATAGAATTTTTTTTTTTTTTTTTCAAATTTGGCCGACCCTGAGAACGAGTCTCGGAGAGGGCCTGTCGACCCTCAAAGGGTTAATAATGATGGTACATACTACTATTGTGCCAAATTTTTGGTTTAATTATGTGGATACCAAAATTTCACAATTCTTTGAATATTGTACAGTTGAGGATACTTCATCTGAAATGCTTGGGACCAGAAGTGTTATGTATTTTGGATTTTTCCGATTTTGTAATTTTTGTAAATTTGCATTTGTAAAATTGGATAGCTTGGGGATGGAACCCAAGTCTGAATAAACACTGCTTAACAGTGGTAGGCTAAGTAAACCAGGCAATAGAGTTGGATGGACTATGGGAAGTATCAGTAGGATAATTCCCCTCTTTACCATCAAACCACCCGGTAATAATATTTTTGCTTACCTCAAACAATCCTGATATTAAATAAACATTATCAGATATAAAAAGCAAAAGTAAAATTGTGGTACATTGTTAAAAGGGGTTCAAATAACAGTACATATCAATATACAGTAGTAATACACAAAAGCAGCCATTTACGCACCATAGCTTTGTTTTGGTCATGTTGTAATACAAATGTACTCTTATTAAACAGTAAAATCAATAAACTTAAGAACATAAACACGAAATATTTTTAAAACTCATGAAAAAAACATCACAAATCAATATGCAGTCCTAGCTGTAGACACGTCCACTTGCACACATTGAAACATTGAGTAGAAAGAGAATATAGCCAGTTAGGTCCAGTTCACGTACTGAACTGAGCGTGATTTCATGAGAGTGATAGTGTCCTGCAAATGTTCAGTTGCAGCTAAATTGAGTGACACTGAAAGACACAAAAATACTGCCAAGCACAAAAAAAACTAAAGAACCATTCAGTATACAAAGACTTTGGGTATTCCTAAATGATTTATACATATGTTACTATGTATGATAATTTGTGTACCTGTACTTACATAAACTTACTAAGCGATGATGTAAGAAGAACAGAAGGAAATATATCTTTGTTCATTGCTGAACATTGTTCATTATGCACAATGACTATATAAGTTAACTGCAAAGAACATTTGCTGACAGTTCTGGAAGTTAGAACCTCTTAAGCTCAGGATTGGGATTTAGCAGGTCTAGAATAGCCCGTACACTGGTGAGTTTTTTTTTTAGCGCTGTATTATGTAAATTTAGTGCGTTTAGCTTGCTTTAGGTTTCTTGATCAGCAGATGCTTATCACCATTAATCTTTAAATATTTAATGCCATGCCTTTTCTTAAATTTTTGTAATCAACCTGCTGAATAGTCGCAGTTACCTTCAGTGTTCATTTCATCATGTAAGATTTTTGCTTGTTTCATGATCAGCATTCCATTAAGCAGCCTATGCTCACTCTAACACTGATGAATCCACTCCATCAATATACAATCGAGATCTTCATTTTTCCTTCTATGCAATTTTTTTCTATTTTTCATTAACTTTGTTCATCATTTTCAGCACAGAACTTCAACAATTTGTCCTTGTTTCATTAGGTCATAGATAGTGGTTGTTCCAACAGTAAACACCTCAGTCAGATGCTTCACACTTACACCGCTGTCAAGTTTTTCCAACAACTTGACTTTCTGTGATATAGGTAAACATAAATGCTTTCTCTTTTTCTTTTCACCATTATCCATAGACCTTTTTGACATTGTCAACAATATCTTCGCACCACAGAGCACAAAACATATGGTAATCAGTGAGTAATTGCATCTGACAACAAACTGAATGATTCATTTGTGGCACATCGTGTCAGCACTCGGAAAACTTTTGGATTGTGGACTTATTCAGATTTTGGAATTTCAGGTAAAGGATTCTCTACTGTATTACAGTTTGTTGAAATGATGGTATTGGGGATATTTCTGCTTCTATAATTGTGTTACTGTATTAAGTGAAAACAGAATGAATACTCTTCCTTTGTTGTGTTTTTCATAGAATTTATTTTAAATCAGTCATACTGTGTTGAGATAGTAGGGAAATACTCTTGAGGCTTTAAAAGCCATATTTTAAGATATGTTAGAGATAATGTGGTTAGATAGTACATAGATTACTATAGATGTAGTCTGATGTATTGATTTATAGTAAGAACTTACTCATAGTGTGATAAATATTATTAAATGTATACTGAAGGTTATAGATGTCTGCAAATTCATAGTTTGAGTATGTAGATTAACCCACAAATTGGAGATAAATATGTAGATGGCATTTAAATCTGACAGTGATCCATGATGTAACAGAATGTCATCTCAAGATTTATCTTCAATTGTGTATTATTTGTGAATTATTCCAGTTATTGTGACTGTTTCTTCACAGTCTGAATAGTTATTAAATGCATAGTCAAGGTTATCAGTAAGATTATGCTAACCATAGTTGAAAGTTTGAACATTTATATTTATAGGAAAACCTCGGTTGCTATATTCTAAATAATAGTGTTAAGTACATACATGTATTTCTTTCTTTCTTTCAACACACCGGCCGTATCCCACCGAGGTGGGGTGGCCCAAAAGGAAAAATGAAAGTTTCTCCTTTCAAATTTAGTAATATATACAGGAGAAGGGGTTACTAGTCCCTTGCTCCCGGCATTTTAGTCGCCTCTTACAACCGCATAGCTTACGGAGGAAGAATTCTGTTCCACTTCCCCATGGAGATTAAGTACATATATATTAAAGAAATTTAGTTTTATACTCGGTTCTATCCTGTACTTGTTTTACATGATGGTAGGATTGCTGGTGTCGTTTTCCTGTCTCATAAACATGCAAGATTTCAGGTACATCTTCCTACTTCTACTTTCACTTAGGTCACACTACACATACATGTTCAAGCATATATATACACACCCCTCTGGGTTTTCTTCTATTTTCTTTCTAGTTCTTGTTCTTGTTTATTTTCTCTCATCTCCATAGGGAAGTAGAACAGAATTCTTCTTCCATAAGCCATGCGTGTCGTAAGAGGCGACTAAAATGCCGGGAGCAAGGGGCTAGTAACTCCTTCTCCTGTATACATTACTAAAATTAAAAAGAGAAACTTTTGTTTTTCTTCTTGGGCCACCCTGCCTTGGTGGGATGTGGCCAGTTTGTTGAAAGAAGAAGAAAGTCAGCTGTATTATAAAACTTTGCTGTGTAGTGAGATTTTTGGTTTGTCATACCTGAGCAACTGTAACAAATTGTCAAGGTCAGTCTCGTGAAGAGACTTTCACATGGCCGTTATTTTCATGTGCAGTGGCAAAAATTCTTCAGGTCTGGATGGCACCTACAAAGCAAACAGGTGATTTTTTTATTAATGATTGAATATGGGAACTTTTGAGTGCATTGCAGAGATTAGGAAAGCTGTTATGTTTGATTTGACATTTTGAAAATAACAAAATTTATTATACATCAACAGTGTAGAGTGCTCAGGACTGGATTATGGCATTGGCTTTAGGGGCTGCAGCCCCTAAAGCTGGAGGGCCTCCAGAGATTAAGAGAAAAATGTTCAGTTACTGCTGTGAGTTTATAATTACAGTATGTTATTGTATCACGTATATTGTGTACTATTGACCGTTGTGATTAATTTTTTTCCCTTTTGAAAATGTCACTGGGGGCCTCGAAGTACCAGTAGCCCAGGGGCCTACAAAATCTTAATCTGGCTCTGACAATGCTGTATAAGAACTTTGACAAGTTGCACTAGTTTACCATAACTTTGTTCACTGAAAGTATACCAGTAAATTATTATCTGGAATGTATTATGGAGTATTGTATTGAGCTCTTGCTTGTGTTTAAATTTTATTACACACACTTTACTATATTGTGGGATTTATATACAGTTCTGTATACAAATACAAATATCCAGACTCCATATTACTACATCTGACTTCAAAATTTCTTATTAATCAAAGTAATGGACATTGTTATTATAATCATAACTAAGTGCTAAACCCACAAGGGAAAGTACTGCACAGGTCACCACAATTACAAAATTATGCCAAATTCTCCCACCAAGATAGGATGACCCAAAAGAATCAAACAAGGCAAAATAGGTTTTCTTTTAGTCACTTTCCACTTCCTGCATATCCCATTTGTATTCTGTTTTTGGTAAAAAAAAATTTTAAATTTAATCATTTCTATTTTGGCAGAATGTTAAAATTCAATCATCAGCTCTATACAGTTACTTTTTTTTATGTATAGGTTATTTGTAGTCATATTGTACACAGTAAATTTTATTACATGTAATCTACTTGTCCCACGAATATTAAATTGGAATTTTTATTCCAAACGGGTTATTACCATAGCATTGATTTTAAGAAATGATGTTATAGACATCTTTTAGTGTCTTTAAACTAAACACTGACATTTTTATGAAAATTATATCAAACAAGGTTTTCCTGGATTAATTATAATTTGTTGATTGTTTAAAATGTATTTAAAATACAAGTGTATTTTTATGTAATAAGCAGAATTTTATTATGATTATTTAGTGTATTTATAATCACTGATGTTTTAATGAATAACCTTTTCATGCACTAAAAACAAAATGCAAATTTTGTGTCATGAAAGCTGCCCTCTGATTAGGGCATTTATTTTTGCACATATTATAAGACATTAATTTCTACACAATTTAATCAGCAGCAAAACTATGGACTACAGTATTAGCTATTCTAGGTTAAGGTAGGTGAGAGAGAGGGAGCCGAAAATTATTATTGTGATCAAATAAAGCGCTAAACCGACAAGGGTCATGCAGCGCTGCGGGGCAGAAAATAGTGCCAGTTCTATAAACAGTTACCTCTTCAAGGGGGGCTCCTTGGTGTGGTGAAGAGGCTCTTGGTCTGAGGAATTAGACCTGTCGGTCTCCTTCCTCAAACCGAACCCAATCCTCCCTTCCCTATCCCATCCTCCCCTTTTTCCTTTCCTCCTCCTCCTCCTCCCCACCCCTCCCTTTTGCCCTTCTTCTTTTTGGCCTTTGGGATTTTTCCCACAGGCACACTAGTTCATAGGTAGGAGGAAGGGTACCAGGGTCCATCCCATTCCGTTGAGGTTCTTGGAGGTGGCGTAGTTTGCCATGGGATCTGGATTGCCTGGGGATGTCCCGATCCCTCTCCGGTATCCCGAAGGGTGGCTTTGGGTGTCTTTTGGGCGATGGGTGTATCTCTGGAAGCCACCTTTCGGATTCTGGGGGTGGTGGCCGAAGGAGGTATGCTTTGTGGCGGATATCCAGCCGCCCTCTCTCTTGTCCACCGAGGTAGCTCAGCAGATGTGAGGTTGCTATCCCGGATTGCTGGTTTACTGGCATGAAGGGTAGGGTATGGCACGGGTTCCATGCTGCATCTGCGCTACTTGTGGTGCTGAGGTCCTCTTGGGCACAGAGGGAGATTTCTGACCCTTTCATTCCTCCTAGGAACTATCCCTCCCTGGTCCCCCCTTTTTTTATTCTTTTTTTATTTTCTTTTCTTTTTTTCTTAAAAACAAAAAGAAGTAACCTAACCATGGAGTCCGAAACCCATGAACCCGCTACCCCCGGGCCCCTTATTGTGACCTCGCCTCGTCTTTTGGCCACTCTTTGGACATTCCTAAGGTCCCTGTACCTCTTGCTGGTGCTGTTTTCTCACCCGCTTCAGGTGCCGGGGTTTCGACTGACTCCTTTGACTATGCTTCCGGCCTCTCCCTCTACGGTGCGGCAATTTTCGAATCGCCAGCCCATCCCACGTCGGACCGACTCTGGACCCACTTCTAAACGCCAAAGACAATCTCCTGATGACGTTACTTCGTTACCTTCCCATTCTACTCGGAAAAGACCGACACGTCATGCACTCCCTCTCCACACTGTTTCAGACCACACAATGGACTAAATTCTTTACTTTAAGACCAACTTCTTCTACTGCCTATCTCTCTGACCATAGTATTGGCAAAGCGCTCCTACACCACGTTGGTAGAGATATTTCCTTTCATGCTCTTAAGAGTGGTACACGCATCATCACAGTCCAGAATTCTACCCAAGCTCATGATCTTTCTCTTTCACATATCGATATTATTCCTATCACTATCGAAAAACATCATTCCCTCAATTCTTGTAGTGGTACTCTTATTCTGCCCCATACCATAGTCCAACAGAATTTCCAGACATGTGGCAATGACATTCTCAAACAGCTGTTACTCCAAGATCTCCCAATTCTTACGGTAGACACTTATGTTCTTCCTGCCCGCGGGCGAAGACGATACCTTTGCAATGTGGCTCGTTTAACTTTTGACAGCCGTGTACTCCCATCCTCTGTTTATTTAGCATGACATCAGTTACAAGTTCGGAAGGTGATCCCTACACCGCAACAGTGTAGGAATTGCTGGCGATTTGGCCACCCAGCAAAATATTGCAGATCTATAGCCGAATGCTCAGTCTGTGGTGCCGATGACCATTCTAATACATCTTGCCGTCGAACTCCCTCTTGCCTTAATTGTCATGAGGCTCACCCTTCGTACTCTCGCTGTTGCCAGGTCTACTTAAATGAGCGGGAAATTTGTTGCCTCAAAGAGGCAGGTCTCCTTTATGCCATGGCAGTTTCTCATCTCCGCCTCCAAGGAAAACTACCCCGTGTTATTCTCGTGTTTCAAAATGCCCCCCCACTTCTGGGGTCCCATCTTCTGCAGCCTCCTCTGCAGTTGCCAGTCCCATAGTCACTCCTGTATCTAATTCTTTTGCTGTCCTGGGCTCAGACGTCCCTACTTCAACACCTCAGTCCGCCCTCGCTGCTTTGTGTTCTCCCTCACAAATCCCGGTATCGACAAGACCTCGTACGACACCTCCTCCGAATCATCCCTTTACTTCTCAGAGGTCCAAAAAATCTTTAACCCCTCCTTCCCTTCATCCACCTCCACATTTTACCTTCCCAGTCTCTGTACCTGGGTCTTCCCCTTTCACTGGCTCTGTTACAAGTGTGGAGGGTCATCCTCCTCGTACTGTGCCTTCCTCCCCTGTCCCCTGCCAAGTTTCTTCCTCTTCTGCTACCTCCCAGGTTTCTGCCTCTTCTGTCCCCTCCCACACTTCTCCAGTTCCCTCCACCCTTTCACCCCCCCCCCTACCTTGGTACAGTCCATTACACCTCCGATCTTTACTCAAACTCCTTCTCCTTCCATCTCCAATATTGTCTCTCATACAACGTCTCTGAACTCTGAAACACTTGAAGCAATCTCTGAATATATTGCAGAGACCAACCCATCAATGGACACTGATCCACCCTCTGTTCCTTCTCTTTCCTCTTCTCCATCTGCGCAACTCCTTTCTTCACAGTGCAACGTTCCTTCGCTGCTTGAACGTTTTCCTTTGCCACCGCACGTGGACTTTTCTAACCCCTCTAGTCCGTACCCTTACCTGTGGATTTCAGGTATCTTTATCATTGTCAATCATGGCCTATTTACAGTGGAATATACGTGGCCTCGGGTAATCGGGGTGAGCTCTCCCAGTTTTCCCCTGTTGGAGTTTGCTTACAGGAACCAAAATTACACTCTGCTGTTATCTATCCCATCTCAGGCTATAATTTATTGTATTCTTCAGATCCTTTTCCTGATGGGACCTTTAATGAAAGTGCCCTTCTTCTACGCACTGATATTCCGTACCATCAGCTATTTGTTCGTACTTCGCTGCATTACACAGCAGCCCGTATCCACTTGCATAGGTGGTATACACTCTGTTCTTTGTATCTCTCTCCTTCTCGGGCATTATCTATCCCAGATATTGCCTTTCTTGTTTCGTCATTACCGCCACCACTTCTGTTACTTGGCGATTTTAATGCCCATCATTTCCAATGGGGGGGTCTCACTGTGATGCCCGTGGCATTCAGTTAGAGGCTTTTCTTGCTACCCGCCCCCTCCACGTTCTAAATACAGGTACTCACACCCATTTTGATACCCGTACTCATACTCTCTCTTCCATCGATCTTTGTCTGCTCTTCCTCCGCCGCATTAGACTTCACCTGGTATGTTCTCCTGGATTTACATGACAGTGATCATTTCCCAATCATTCTTACATCCCCTTCGCATTCACCACCTCTTCGTAACCCCGCTGGCAATTTGATCAGGCAAATTGGAACCTTTACTCATGGCTAACTGTTTTGAGTGAGGTTCCTTCTTCGTCCTCCATTGATGAGCTTTTACACCTCTTCTCGTCCTCCGTTTTAACCGTAGCTTCTCATTCTATACCCCAAACTTTAGGCAGGCATTCTCAGAAATGCATGCCTTGGTGGTCTCCTGCTTGTGCTCGTGCAGTACGTTTGAAACATGCTGCGTGGGGCAGGTACCGGTACAATAGAACCATGGAGAGACTACTTGATTTTAAGCAGAAGCATGCGATCGCTCGCCGTGTCATCGGTGACGCTAAATCCACTTGCTGGCGAGATTATCTCCACCATCACCTCTGCTTCCTCTTTGAGTGCAGTCTGGAAAAAAGTACGAAAACTGAGTGGTAAATATTTTCCTGACCCGGCTCCTGTTCTGCGGGTTGCTGGTGTTATAACAAACCAACTGGATGTTGCCAATGAAATTGGCAATCATCTGGTCCGTATTTCTCAGGGGCTCCATCTATGCCCCTCGTGTCTTTCCTCAAAGTCTGCCAGAGAGCTAACACCCTTGGACTTTTCTTCTCTCAGAGAAGAACAGTATAATGTGCCTTTTACACTTCAGGAACTGGAGGCAACACACTCAGCTTGCCAATCATCGGCAGCTGGGCCCGACGACATTCATATTCGTATGCTACAACATTTACATCAGTCAGCCCTTGCAGTCCTATTACGCCTTTTCAATCTTATTTGGTCACAAGGAGTTCTTCCACAGCTGTGGAAATCTGCCATTGTTCTCCCTTTCCGCAAACCGGGCACTACAGGACATGAAACCTCCCACTATCGTCCCATTGCTCTTACCAGTGCAGTTTGCGAAGTGATGAAACGCCTGGTAAATAGACGTTTAGTGTGGTATTTAGAGAGACACAACAGTCTCTCCACTCGTCAATATGGCTTTCGTAAGGGCCGTTCTACAGTAGACCCCTTACTACGCTTGGATACCTATGTTCGTAATGCCTTTGCGAATAACCACTCGGTTATTGCCATATTTTTTGACCTTGAGAAGGCATATGACAACTTGGAGGTATAATATTTTGGCCCAAGCCCACTCCTTAGGCCTCCGAGGCAATCTACCATCCTTCCTTAAGAACTTTTTAACTGACAGACATTTCCGTGTTCGGGTTAATAATGTGCTCTCCCCGGACTTTATCCAAGCCGAAGGTGTCCCCCAGGGATGTGTTCTGAGCACAACACTTTTTCTCCTTGCTATAAATGATTTGGCTTCTAGTCTTCCATCCAATATGTGGTCATCACTATGTTGATGACTTCGTTATTAATAGCCTGTGCAGGCGCTGACTGTCACCTCATGCTGTCGACCGTGTTTCCAATTGGGCCGCCACACATGGGTTAAAATTTTCCAGTACCAAAACTCGCCAAATTACTTTCACTAGACACACTGCCATCTCCGATCATCCTTTGTACCTCTATGGCTCCCGTATCCCTGAACGTGATAGTCAGGTTTCTGGGCCTCCTGTTTGACCATAGGTTATCCTGGAAACCTCACATTACCTCTCTGAAGGCAACTTGCCACAGCCGGCTGAACCTTCTTAAAACCCTTGCTCATCTTTCATAGGGAGCTGATCGTCGAACTCTCCTTCGCCTACATTCCACCCTCATTTTATCGAAACTTGATTATGGTGACCAGATCTATTCAGCGGCCTATTCTGCTACTCTCTCTAGCCTTAACCCCATTCATCACCAAGGATTACGTTTATGCCTTGGTGCTTTTCGCTCTTCCCCTGTTGAGAGCCTCTATGCAGAAGCGAACGTTCCATCCTTATCCGATCGCCTTGATGCCCATTGCCTTCGCTACTATGTACACTCATGATCTCCGTAATCCTTCCATTTACAGAATGGTCACCGATATTAGTAGACATTCTTTATTTGTTCGCCGTCCCTGTTTGCTCCATCCCTTCTCTCTCCGCCTACATTCGCTCGTCTTCTCTTCAATTACCACCTTTCTATGTTCATGTAGCATCTCACTTTTCCCTACCCCCCTGGGAAGTTCCAGCTGTTCGAGTCTGTTCTTTCTCACTCCCTTGCTCGAAAGCCCAACTGTCTACGGTAGCTTCCCACTCTTTCTTGACCACTTCCACTCTTTCTCATGCCATTGCAGTGTACACAGATGGCTCTAAGTCTTCTGAGGGCGTAGGATTCGCAGCAGTTTTTCCGGACAGCGTCGTACGAGGGCATTTACTATCTTCGGCTAGTATTTTTACTGCTGAATTGTATGCCATTCTTCTTCTGTTGAGGTTTCAGGGCCACTGACAGCATACGCCATATCGAGCCTGGCCGTCCAGTGCTAGGAGAGGGAATATCGACCAAAGTGGAAGAATGTCTTGACTAATATCATATGTCTCTGATATGTCCTGAAGCCAGCAGGAAGGAGCAGGTACAAGCCAATATCTCCTGATGGTCCAGAGGGCGAAACTCCTCCCCGTTGAGGAGGACAGGTAGTGTGAAAGTGTGCACCCCAAGTGTGCACAAGGCCGCACGGAGAGTAGTCCATGCAGAGTGATAACGTGGGCACCACAGCAGGGAGTGTTCTTGATAGCAACCTCACATCTGCCGAGCTACCTCGGTGGACAAAAGAGAGGGCGGCCGGATATCTGCCACAAAGCATACCACCTCTGGCCACCATCCCCGGAATCCGAAAGGTGGCCTCCAGAGATACACCCGTTGCCCGAAAGACCGGAGAGGGAACGGGATATCCCCAGGCGATCCAGATTCCACGGCAAACTACACCACTGCTAAAAACCTCAACGGAATGGGATTGACCCCGGTACCCTTCCCCCTACCTAGGAACCAGTAGGCCTGTGGTTAGAATCCCAAAGGCCAAAAAGTGGAAGGGAATAAGGGAGGGACAGGGGGGGAGGAGGAGGAAAGGGAAAAGGGAGGATGGGATAGGGAAGGGGAGATTGGGGAGTAATTAGGTTCGGTCTGAGGAAGGAGACCAACAGGTCTAATTCCTCAGACCAAGAGCCTCTTCACCACGCCAAGGAGCCCCCCTTCAAGAGGACTTGGGCCCTGAAACCGCAAAAGCCAGCAAAGTGCTCAAGTTTTAACCCTTTGACTCGCAAGCCCCTTTCTGAAACTGTCATTCTACGTCACAAAAGTTTCGGAAAAAAAATATTTTCTTTTGAAATGATATAGAATCTTTTCCCGATGGTAATGACACCAAAAGTACGAAATTTGGTCGAAAACTCACGGAATTATGCTCCCGCGAAGTTAGCGGTCTCGGCGACATGTACGCATCAGCAATTTCGCAGATTTTGAGCCCTGTTTTTGGCCAATTCCGTTGTTCCAGTTGACCAAACTCATAGCTATTTCTTTAGAACTCCATTTTTTCTATCAGTTGAGTACAAGAAACTGCCCGTTTACCTATTTGAACTACCCAATAAAGTGGTCAGAAATTGGCAATTGGGCCAATTTCATGCAAATTAAAAAAAATGCCAATTTCAAAATAGGGTCCAGAATAAACAATGTAGACATTCTTGGCACTAAAATAACATATCCTCTGTTCATTAGTCACGTCTCTAGGCCCCTCTTATATTACTATTGCTTTCTATATTGATTTTTTATTCATACAAATGATGTTGGTGAGGGGCTCTTGATTTAGGGAATTGGATCTGTGCTCCAGTTCCCCGAATTAAGCCTGAATGCCTTCCACATCCCCCCCTAGGTGCTGTATAATCTTCCGGGTTTAGTGCTTCCCCCTTGATAATAATAATAATATTCATACAAAAAAAAATACAAAATTTACTGTTATTCAGACTAATGCATTATTGTAAAAATATAAATAATATCAGTGCACTAGTGAAAGAATATTAGACTCCCCAGTTGACGCCTCTTCAAGGGGGGCTCCTTGGCGTGGTGAAGAGGCTCTTGGTCTGAGGAATTAGACCTATCGGTCTTCTTCCTCAGACCGAACCTAATTACCCCCCAATCTCCCCTCCCCTATCCCATCCTCCCCTTTTTCCTTTCCTCCTCCTCCTCCCCACTCCTCCCTTTTGCCCTTCCTCTTTTTGTCCTTTGGGATTTCTCCCACAGGCGCGCTAGTTCCTGGGTAGGAGAAAGGATACCGGGGTCCATCCCATTCCGTTGAGGTTCTTAGCGGTGGCGTAGTTTGCTGTGGAATCTGGATCGCCTGGGGATGTCCCGATCCCTCTCCGGTATCCCAGAGTAGCTTTGGGTGTCTTTCGGTCGATGAGTGTATCTCTGGAAGCCACCTTTCGGATTCCGGGGGTGGTGGCCGAAGGAGGTATGCTTTGTGGCGGATATCCGGCCGCCCTCTCTTTTGTCCACCGAGGTAGCTCGGCAGATGTGAGGTTGCTATCCCGGATTGTTAGTTTACTAGCATGATGGATAGGGTATGGCACGGGTTCCATGCTGCATCTGCGCTACTTGCGGTGCTGAGGTCCTCTTGGGCGCGGAGGGAGATTTCTGGCCCTTTCATTCCTCCTAGGAACTATCCCTCCCCGGTCCCCCCTTTTTTTTCTTTTTTTTTATTTTTATTTCTTTTCTTCTTTCTTTTTTTTTCTTAAAAACAAAAAGAAAGAAGTAACCTAACCATGGCAGCCCTAGTCCATGAACCTGGTACCCCCGGGCCCCTTCTTGATACCGCACCCCGTTCTGACCCCGCCTCGTCTTTGGACCACTCTTCAGACATTCCTCGTGCCTCTGTACCTATTGCCGGTGCTGTTTCCTCACCCGCTTCAGGTACTGAGGCCTCGACTGACTCCTTCGATTTATCAGACCTTCGCTCTCCTCTGACTATGCTTCCGGCCTCTCCCTCTACGGTGCGGCAATTTTCAAATCGCCGACCCGTTCCACACGTCGACCAACTCGGGTCCCACGCCTAAACGTCAACGACAATTACCTGCTGATGATACTTCTCCACCTTCACCTTCTCGTTCTTCTCAGAAACGATCGACACGTCCTTCACTACCTTTCCACGCTCAGTTTCAGACTGAACAGTGGACAAAATTCTTCACTTTACGACCAACTTCCTCTACTGCCTATCTTTCTGACCATAGTATTGGCAAGGCACTCCTACGCCATGTTGGTAAAATATTTCTTTTCATGCTCTTAAGAGCGGTACGCGCATCATTACCGTACAGAATGCTACCCAGGCTCGTGAGCTCTCTCGTCTTTCCCATATAGATACTGTTCCTGTCACCCTTGAAAAACATCATTCCCTCAATTCTTGTAGTGGTACCGTCATTCTGCCCCATACCATAGTTCAACAAAATTTCCAGACATGTGGCACCGACATTCTAGAACAGCTGGAACTCCAAGATCTCCCAATCCTCAAGGTAGACACTTACTTCTTCTGCCCGTGGGCGGAGACGATACCCTAGCAATGTGGCTCGTTTAACTTTTGACAGCCGAGAACTCCCATCCTCAGTTTATATAGCAGGACATCGGTTACAAGTTCGAAAGGTGATCCCTACACCACAACAGTGTAGAAATTGCTGGCGATTTGGCCATCCAGCGAAATATTGCAGATCTATCGCCGAATGCCCAGTCTGTGGTGCCGATGACCATTCTAATACGTCTTGCAATCGATCTCCCTCTTGCCTTAACTGTCATGAGGCTCACCCTTCGTACTCTCGCCGTTGTCAGGTCTATTTAAACGAGCGGGAAATCCGTTACCTCAAAGAGACAGAAGGTCTCCCTTATGCCATGGCAGTTTCTCATCTCCGCCTCCAAGGGAGACTCCCACGTGTTTCTTATTCCCGTGTTTCAAAACGTCCCCCCACTTCTGGTATCCCATCTTCTACACCCACCTCTGTGGTTACCTCTCCCATAATCACTCCTGAAATCTAATCCTTTTGCTGTCCTTGGCTCAGACGTCCCTACTTCAACGCCTCAGTCTAATCTCGCTTCTTCGAGTTCTCTCTTACAAGCCTCAGTATCGACGAGACCTCGTACGACACCTCTTCCCAATCGTCCCTCTACTTCTCAAAAGTCAAAAAAAAGGTCCGGTAACACCTCCTACCCATCTTCCACCTCCTCATTTTACCCTCCCTGTCTCTGTCCCTAGTTCTTCCCCTCTCACTGGCTCAGTTACAAGTGCAGAGGTTCACCCTCCTCCTCGTAATGTACCTTCCTCCCCTGTTCCCTCCCAAGTTTCTTCCTCTTCTGCCACCTCCCAGGTTCCTGTCTCTTCTGTCCCCTGCCACGCTTCTCCAGTTCCCTCCACCCTTTCGCCCCCCCCCTACCTTGGTACAGTCCAATACAGTTCCAATCTTTACTCATCCTCCCCCTACCTTTTCCCAATATTGTCCCCCATACGACATCTCTGAATTCCGAAACACTTGAAGCAATCTCTGAATATATTGCAGAGACCAAACCATCAATGGACACTGATCCACCTTCCGCTCTTTCTCTCTCCTCTGCTCCATCTGCGCAACTCCTTTTCTTCACAGCGCACCGTTCCTTCGCTGCTTGAACATTTTCCACTGCCTCCGCATGTGGACTTTTCTAACCCTTCTAGTCCGTAGGAACCCTTCCCTGCGGATTTCAAGTATCTTTATCATTGCCAATCATGGCCTTTTTACAGTGGAATATACGCGGCCTCAGGGGTAATCGGGGTGAGCTTCAGATGTTACTCTCCCAGTTTGCCCCTGTTGGTGTTTGCTTACAGGAACCAAAATTACACTCTGCTGTTATTTCTCACATCTCAGGCTATAATTTATTGTATTCTTCAGATCCTTTTCTGATGGGACCTTTAATGAAAGTGCCCTTCTTCTCCGCACTGATATTCCGTACCATCAGCTATTTGTTCATACTTCGCTGCATTACACAGCAGCCCGTATCCACTTACATAGGTGGTATACGCTCTGTTCTTTATATCTCTCTCCTTCTCGGGCATTATCTATTCCGGATTTTGCCTTCCTTGTTTCGTCATTACCGCCACCGATTCTGTTACTTGGTGATTTTAATGCCCACCATTTCCTCTGGGGGGGGGTCTCACTGTGATTCCCGTGGAATTCAGTTAGAGGCTTTTCTTGCCACCCACCCCCTCCATGTTTTAAATACAGGTACTCACACCCATTTTGATCCTCGGACTCATACTCTCTCTTGCATCGATCTCTCAGTTTGCTCTTCCTCCGCCGCATTAGACTTCACTTGGTCTGTTCTCCCGGACTTACATGACAGTGATCATTTCCCAATCATTCTTACTTCCCTTCATATTCGCCACCTCTTCGCACCCCACGCTGGCAATTTAATCGGGCAAATTGGAACCTTTACTCACACCTGACTGTTTTTAAAGAGGTTCCTTCTTCGTCCTCCATCGATGAGCTTTTACACCTCTTCTCGTCCTCCGTTTTCACCGCAGCTTCTCATTCTATACCCCAAACTTCGGGCAGCATTCTCAGAAATGCGTGCCTTGGTGGTCTCCTGCTTGTGCTCGTGCAGTACGTTTGAAACGCGCTGCATGGGGCAGGTACCGGTACAATAGAACCACAGAGCGACTCCTTGATTTAAACAGAAGCGTGCGATCGCTCGCCGTGTCATCCGTGACGCTAAACGCACTTGCTGGCGAGATTATGTCTCCACCATCACCTCTGCTTCCTCTATGAGTGCAGTCTGGAAAAAGTACGAAAACTGAGTGGGAAATATTCTCCTGACCCGGCTCCTGTTCTGCGGGTTGCCGGGTTTGATATAGCAAACCCACTAGATGTTGCCAATGAAATTGGCAATCATCTGGTCCGTATTTCTCAGGGACTCCATCTATGCCCCTCATTTCTTTCCTCAAAGTCTGCCAGAGAGTTAGCACCCTTGGACTTTTCTTCTCTCAGAGAAGAACAGTATAATGTGCCTTTTACACTTCAAGAACTGGAGGCAACACCCTTTAGCTTGTCGATCATCGGCAGCTGGGCCCGACGACATTCATATTCGTATGCTAACAACATTTACATCAGTCAGCCCTTGCAGTCCTATTACGCCTTTACAATCTTATTTGGTCACAAGGAGTTCTTCCACAGCTGTGGAAATCCGCCATTGTTCTCCCTTTCCGCAACCAGGCACTACGGGACATGAAACCTCCCACTATCGTCCCATTGCTCTTACCAGTGCAGTTTGCAAAGTAATGGAACGTCTAGTAAATAGACGTTTAGTGTGGTATTTAGAGACACACAACAGTCTCTCCACTCGTCAATATGGCTTTCGTAAGGGACGTTCTACCATAGACCCCTTACTGCGCTTGGATACGTATGTTCGTAATGCCTTTGCGAATAACCACTCAGTTATTGCCATATTTTTTGACCTTGAGAAGGCATATGACACAACTTGGAGGTATAATATTTTAGCCCAAGCCCACTCCTTAGGCCTTCGAGGCAATCTACCCTCCTTCCTTAAGAACTTTTTAACTGACAGGCATTTCCGTGTTCGGGTTAATAATGTGCTCTCCCCGGACTTTATCCAAGCTGAAGGTGTCCCCCAGGGATGTGTTCTGAGCACAACACTTTTCTCCTTGCTATTAATGATTTGGCCTCTAGTCTTCCATCAAATATTTGGTCATCACTCTATGTTGATGACTTCGCTATTGCCTGTGCAGGCGCTGACTGTCACCTCCTTACAGTTTCTCTCCAGCATGCAGTCGACCGTGTTTCCAATTGGGCCACCACACATGGGTTTAAATTTTCCAGCACTAAAACCAAACCCGATCACTTTCACTAGACGCTCTGTCATCTCCGATCATCCTTTGTACCTCTATGGCTCCCGTATCCCTGAACGTGATACAGTCAAGTTTCTGGGCCTCCCCCTTTGATCGTAGGTTATCCTGGAAACCTCACATTACCTCTCTGAAGGCAACTTGTCACAGCCGGCTGAACCTTCTTAAAACCCTTGCTCATCTTTCGGGGGAGCTGATCGTCGAACCCTCCTTCACCTACATTTTCCCCCCTTATTTTATCGAAACTTGATTATGGTGACCAGATCTATTCAGCGGCATCTCCTGCTACTCTCTCTAGCCTTAACCCCATTCATCACCAAGGATTACGTTTATGCCTTGGTGCTTTTCGCTCTTCCCCTGTCGAAAGCCTCTATGCAGAAAACGAACGTTCCATCCTTATCCGATCGCCGTGATGCCCATTGCCTGCGCTACTATGTACGCTCTCATGATCTCCGCAATCCTTCCATTTATAGAATGGTCACTGATATTAGTAGACATTCTTTATGTGTTCGCTGCCCCTGCTTACTCCGTCCCTTCTCTCTTCGCCTTCATTCGCTCTTGTCTTCTCTTCAACTACCACCTTTCTATGTACATGTAGTATCTCACTTTTCCCTACCCCCCTGGGAAGTTCCAGCTGTTCGAGTCTGTTCTTTCTCCCTCCCTTGCTCGAAAGCCAACTGTCTACGGTCGCTTCCCGCTCTCTTTTTCTTGACCACTTTCACTCTCATTCTCATGCCATTGCTGTGTACACAGATGGCTCTAAGTCTTCTGACGGCGTAGGATTCGCAGCAGTGTTTCCGGACAGCGTCGTACAAGGGCATTTACTATCTTCAGCTAGTATTTTTTACTGCTGAATTATATGCCATCCTTACAGCACTTATCCGTATTGCATCTATGCCTGTGTCATCATTTGTGGTTGTCTCAGACTCCTTAGTGCTTTACAGGCTATACAAAAATTTGATCACCTCACCCCTTAGTCCTCCGTATCCAACTTTGGCTACGCGCATCTTTACTAAGCATAAAGATATTGTTTTTTGTTGGGTCCCTGGTCATGTTGACGTACAGGGCAATGAACAGGCAGACACTGCTGCGCGGTCAGCAGTACATGACCTACCAAATTTTCTTATAGAGGTATTCCATGTACGGACTATTTTGCTGTAATATCTTCCCACCTTCACACCCGTTGGCAACAACGTTGGTCTACTATGCTCGGCAACAAACTTCAGTCTATTAAACCGAGTTATAGGTTACTGGCCGTCTTCTTATCACCAGTGTCGAGGTTGGGAGACTACTCTCTCCCGTCTTCGCATTGGCCATACTCGTCTTACTCATGGATATCTCATGGAGAGGCGTCTTGCTCCTCTCTGTGAGAATTGCCAAGCTCCATTATCAGTCAGCCACATTCTGTTGGACTGCCCACTTTATCAACGAGCACGCAGAATTTACCTCTGTCGTCGTCTTCGCCCCGGTGCTCTCTCTTTACCTTCCCTTCTCGCTGATGGACCCCCCTTCATCCGGACTCTCTCATTGACTTTTTGACAACGACTGACTTACTTCACAAATTCTGATACTTTCAGCCCTTTCTACTTGAATCTCTTGCTACCCTCTACCCCCGTACTATCCCCTGCCCCGCTGTTTTCTGTAACCTGCTGATCATCCCCCCTCCCTTCTGCCATCCAATTCCCTTGCTTCCTTCCCTACCCTGCAGCGCTGTATAGCCCTTGTGGCTTAGCGCTTCTTTTTGATTATAATAATAATAATCCCCAGTTGACGTGTATTGGATGTGTGGTGTAATTTGCTTTCTCCTGAACATTGGTAAAAATCAAATGTTTACGCTACTTCGAGCTCAATTTCTAGGTAGTTTTTATCATGAAAGTACTGAAAATCATCTCTATTTCTATAATATGTTTTCCATTTTGTCACCTGAGACCACGAAAACGGGAATACAACGATAAATACTATAAGAAAATACACCTCAAAGTCGGCGTTTTAATCCAAAAAATTTTTTTTTTTTTCTCATTACGCACTGCAGGATTTTTTTTTGTGTGGTGCACACTGACCCCACAGACCCATTCTCTCACATGTGGGCCTACCAGCTTTCTCCTGCTTGATTTGAAGCCGCTAGAATTTACGCGTATATATACGACTTAAACAGTCAAAGGGTTAAAATACAAAAGGAAAAATTCAGAAGTGTTGAAAGGCCAAGAGTTAAAAGATGACCATAATTTGTTGGGAGAGAGATTTCATCAAGGCAGAACAGGTGAGCATTCAACATTTGTCCTCCAGTGACTGCACTGACCGTCTTGCTCATTTTGGCTTGTATTTCTTCGTAATGTAGACACTTTTGGGCTTAGAGCTTAACTTTATAATATGTAATCATCAAAAAGAAGCAGTAAGGTCACTGGATTATGTAATTATCATTACACAGTGTAGGTGCCCACAATTTTTTTTTTTTTAACAGTGGGATACACTAAATTTGTAGGGAATAGGCCTGAATACTTTCCACATCCCCCCCCCCACAGGCGCTGTATAATCCTCCGGGTTTAGCGCTTCCCCCTTGATTATAATAATAATAATATGACTACTACAAGGACAATGAAAGACTATATAATAATTTTATATAATAAATCAATACAACAGACTAGACTGTACCGAGTACAGTAAAGTACTCGTAAATATTTAATAGCAATATCACTTAGGCAAAAATAGTAATTCTATCATTATCACAAATCTTTTGGAGAAACAGCTAACACAATTGACAAAAAGGCCTTTTGCTTATTTACTGCCCAAGAGAAACATTCACTATTTGCTTAAGATCACAGTAACTCCACATTGTACAAATTATGCAACTCCAAGTCAACAACCCCTCATGGAAGGTTCCTTGATGTTGGTGAGGGGCTCTTGATTTAGGGAATTGAATCTGTGCTCCAGTTCCCCGAATTAAGCCTGAATGCCTTCCACATCCCCCCCTGGGCGCTGTATAATCCTACGGGTTTAGCGCTTCCCCTTGATTATAATAATAATCCAAGTCAACAACACTTCCCAGCAAGCAAATGCAGCCAGTCTCACGATTAAAATAAATATCATTAAGAAATGTTAAGTAAATTCATATTTCAATTCAATTAATGTTTGGTGCTTTATTTGCAAATAACACTGCAACTGAATCTTAAAAACCTATTATAATGTACTGGTAATCTATTTTGAGCTATGAAGTGGTATCATTTCCATCACAATTTTTATCAAAGGCTACTTATAACTACACTGACATGACCAATGTCACTTCAAAGCTACAGATAGGTTCCTGGTTAATACCACTGGAAGTCATAAGACATTACTGATATACAGCACAATCATAATGGTACAATACACACACACACACACACACACACACACACACCTTAAAATTTATGCAAGTCTCTAATATAAAGAGATTAAGATAATGTAGCACAGTATTAGGAATAAATCCTATTATTAATACTTTGTTATCCAATACCTGATATTATACCAATAATGGGTGTGCTACAGCATACATATACTACAAGTGTTCAATAGTCAGCATTAAATAAACAATGCTGCTTAGTATGACACTCAAAACCTCCTTATGCCTAAAGCATCTTTGCCATTCCAACTCCTAACATTGTACCAGCAGAAAAAGCCATTATGTACATATTAAGCATATACAGTTCATCTACAGTAAATGTGCTGTTATCCCCAAGCACATATTTCCTGTATGCCTTTTGTGCTGATTTCATTCTTTTGTTTACCCACGATTCTGCCTTTTGCTCAACTTTATTTAATTTGCGGTCCAGCTTTATTGCAGCCTTTTCTAATTTTCTATCCATCTGGCGAGCTGCATCTCTCAGTAGATTCTGTAGGGAACACAAGCAAAACTTTGAATGGCAAATATAAATATAATATTCAATTAGCTCAAATGTTTCTACAACAGTGCATTTCATCTTGTGTAATAAAATATGCTTATATAGTATTAAATAAGTTGCTGCAAATTTTTAAATATGCCCACACATACTGTCACCCCATTTTTTTTTTTTTTTTTTAACAAAATTAAATTTATATAATAGACAATGGGTGTGAAGGAGAAAGATACAAATCACATACTGTGTACCATTTGCCAAAATAGACATGTTTCACAATATAATGAAATGGAATACAAAAGAAAAGCTGAGAATAAGGTATATCAACATACACAAGATGTACACTCAAATGTCTCACTGAGAAAAAGGATCAAGTGACTGCAATAACAGAGCTGGAGAGAAGGAGCATAATTTTGTTTTTTGTAAATAGAAACATAGGAGAAAACTGTATCCTCTCATATTCCACGAATAAAACCATTAGCATTAAGTAGGAAAACAATGCCAAAGGCAGTGTTTATGGGATATGATCATCAGTGATGTGTAGTGATATCAATGAGTTAACAAGAACTCCAAGAAGACAATGTGTAGGAGCAGACATACTAGAATGTTACACAAATAACCCCACATAGAAGAGAGCTCCTCTCTTCTATGTGCGGGTTATTTGTGTATCGTTCCAGTCACTATTGTGCCTTTTTTTGTTATTTATAGTAGAATGTGGAAGGAGAGAATGTAAAGATGGGTTAGTGTCCATCACTGGTTTTGTTTCCTCAATAAATGCTGATGTGGCTGTAATGAATAGTTTCCAAGTACAACAAAGCAGTAGGAAGTATGGTGAAAGTCAGAAGATGTAGCTAATGACAGATCTATATGAGGGACCCTGGCAAGGAATTAAGTGCTACACCAGTGAACACTAAAGTTATAAGAAAATGTGATAACCTTATTGCTGACAGAAAACTTCTACTGATGTGGGCCGAAGATCAAACTAGTCAAAACATGCCTTTTAAGCTGAGCCAATATCCAGTCCAAGGCCATGAAAATCTTCATATCTATGAAGGGAGAGGTGAGGAATCTGCTGAAGATAAATTTGAAGCTAGCAGTCTGATTTCATCTCCTGACTTCTGCAATAAGTATTACTTGCCTCTCACCCTACATTAAGGACAAAAATATTTTAAGGTAAATAATGAGTGTACTGTATAAGTATACATTTTATTTTTTTATTTTTTTATAGGTCTAGTTCTATTGCTAACTTAATAGCATACGATAGTGCTAACATCTTATCAGGCATTTATATGCATTTAAAACTGAAAAAAAGGAAGAATCGCTTTACGGTGGTAGCCTGGAACCTAACCCGCCTTATAAGTGGGGCCCTACTGTACTAGGGAAAGTGAACACTTCTATTGTACCTACAATAGGTGGTCAGGCTTCAAACACCTACTCCACAGCAATAAAGAAACAGAACAGGCTGTCTATGTCATGGCCAGTCTCAGCTTAAGCCAGTTTGGAATAGAATTAAAAAGTACTTAATGAATGAAGCAACAGAAACGAAAGTAATTTATATAATATTCATATAGCTTATATTCAGGTTTCTCATTTTTAATGCTCATGCAAGTCATTCTCATGAATTTGATTTATCATCCTTACTATTATTTTGGTTGTATCCATTCTTATTATAACTCTGTCATGCATGATTCATTCTTTTATTTTTGTTTTAGGAATTATGATTGATTTTTACTGTATCTAATAATTAGGCTCCTAAAAGTCACTTATTTTTTGGGATGATCCTACTTACACGTTACTATGAAAGACATTTGTAATCATCCAAAAATTTAGTAAAATTGTACCCAGATAAAGTTTTTCACCACCACATGGTACATTTGACAAAACCCCTATATATACAATGTACTGTTCAATATTATAATGACCCTTTATATATTTCTAAAAAATTATACCTACAATGATCAGCATGGTTTCCTCTTTTCTATAGTACAGTATATCACTCACAATAAAACTATGTATCTAATACCCATCCTTGGACCCGAATCCATACACAGTGGAACCTCTGGTCATGAACACTTCCAAACACGAACAAATCAGTTCACAACCAAAATTATTATAATCAAAAACAAGCGCTAAGCCACAAGGGCTATACAGCGCAACAGGGTACGGAAGGAAGCGAGGGTATTGGGCGGTAGAAGGGGGGAGGGATGATCAGTAGGTTACAGAAAACAGCGGGGCAGGGGATAGTGCAGGGGTAGAGGGCAGCAAGAGATTGAGGTAGAAAGGGCTGAAGGTATCATCAGAGTTTGTGAAGTCAGTCAGTTGTCAAAAAGTCAACGAGAGAGTCCGGATGAAAGGTGGGTCCATCAGCGAGAAGGGAAGGTAAAGAGAGAGCAGCGGAGCAAAGACGACGGAGGTATATTCTGTGTGCTCGTTGATAAAGTGGGCAGTCTAATAGAATGTGGCTAACCGATAATGGAACCTGACAATTCTCACAGAGAGGAGCAGGGCGCCTCTCCATGAGATAACCATGAGTAAGACGAGTATGGCCAATGCGAAGACAGGAGAGAGTAGTCTCCCAACCTCGACACTAGTGACAATTCAGTTCAAGTTTATTCTCTATAAGGGTTACAATGTGGGGTTTACATGTTATAAAATACTAATTACAGAGGGGGGCCACTAGGACACCTAGCCTGGCTAGGCATTTCGAGCAGACTGTAACCTATACTCGGTTTAATAGATTGAAGTTTGTTACCGAGCAGAGTAGACCAACGTTGTTGCCAATGGGTGTGAAGGTGGGTAGCTATTGCAGTAAAATAGTCCGTAAATGGAACACCTTTATATGAAACTGGTAGGTCATGTACTGCTGACCGCGCAGCAGTGTCTGCCTGTTCATTGCCCTGCACGTCAACATGACCAGGGACCCAACAAAAAACAATATCTTTATGCTTGGAAGAGATGCGGCGTAGCCAAAGTTGGATACGGAGGACTAAGGGGCGAGGTGTATCAAATTTCTGTATAGCCTGTAAAGCACTAAGGGAGTCTGAGACAACCACAAATGATGACATAGGCATAGATGCAATATGGATAAAGTGCTGCAAGAATGGCATACAATTCAGCAGTAAAGATACTAGCCGAAGATAGTAAATGCCCTTGTACAACGCTGTCCGGAAACACTGCTGCGAACCCTATGCCATTAGAAGACTTAGAGCCATCTGTGTACACTGCAATGGCATGAGAATGAGAGTGGAAGTGGTCAAGGAAAAAAGCGGGAAGCTACCGTAGACAGTTGGGCTATGGGACTGGCAACCGCAGAGGAGGTTGCAGAAGATGGGACCCCAGAAGTGGGGGGGACGCTTTGAAACACGAGAATATGAAACACAGGGCAGTCTCCCTTGGAGGCGGAGATGAGAAACCGGCACAGCATAAGGGAGACCTGCCTCTTTGAGGCAACGAATTTCTCGCTCATTTAAGTAGACTTGGCAACTGTGAGAGTACGAAGGGTGAGCCTCATGACAATTAAGGCAAGAGGGAGTTTGACTGCAAGACGTATTAGAATGGTCATCGGCACCACAGACTGGGCATTTGGCTATAGATTTGCAATATTTTGCTGGCTGGCCAAATCGCCAGCAATTCCTACGCTGTTGCGGTGTAGGGATCACCTTCCGAACTTGTAACCGATGTCCTGCTACATAAACAGAGGATGGGAGTTCACGGCTGTCAAAAGTTAAACGAGCCACATTGCAAAGGTATCGTCTTCGCCCACGGGCAGGAAGAACATAAGTGTCTACCTTGAGAATTGGGAGATCTTGGAGTTCCAGCTGTTCGAGAATGTCAGCGCCACATGTCTGGAAATTCTGTTGGACTATGGTATGGGGCAGAATAACAGTACCACTACAAGAATTGAGGTAATGATGTTTTTCGATAGTGATAGGAATAGTATCGATATGTGAAAGAAGAGAAAGATCATGAGCTTGGGTAGAATTCTGGACTGTGATGATGCGCGTACCACTCTTAAGAGCACAAAAGGAAATGTCTCTACCAACGTGGTGTAGGAGCGCTTTGCCAATACTATGGTCAGAAAGATAGGCAGTAGAAGAAGCCGGTCTTAATGTAAAGAATTTAGTCTATTGTGTGGTCTGAAACTGAGTGTGGAGAGGGAGTGCATGACGTGTCGGTCTTTTCCGAGTAGAAAGGGAAGGTAACGAAGTAACATCATTAGGAGATTGTCGTTGACGTTTAGAAGTGGGAGCAGAGTTGGTCCGATGTGGGACGGGCCAGCGATTCGAAAATCGCCGCACTGTAGAGGGAGAAGCCGGAAGCATAGTCAAAGGAGAGCGGAGGTCAGACAAATCGAAGGAGTCAGTGGAAGCCCCGGTACCTGAAGCGGGTGAGGAAACAGCACCAGCAAGAGGTACAGGGGCCCTAGGAGTGTCCAAAGAGTGGCCAAAAGACGAGGCAAGGTCAGAACGGGGTGCGGTAACAATAAGGGGCCCGGGGGTAGCGTGGTCATGGATCGGGTACTCCATGGTTAGGTTACTTCTTTCTTTTTGTTTTTAAGAAAAAAAAAAGAAAAGAAAATAAAAAAAGAATAAAAAAGGGGGGACTGGGGAGGGATAGTTCCTAGGAGGAATGAAAGGGTCAGAAACCTCTCTCCGTGCCCAAGAGGACCTCAGCACCACAAGTAGCGCAGATGCAGCATGGAACCCGTGCCATACCCTACCCATCATGCCAGTAAACCAGCAATCCGGGATAGCAACCTCACATCTGCTGAGCTACCTCGGTGGACAAAAGAGAGGGCGGCCGGATATCCGCCACAAAGCATACCTCCTTCAGCCACCACCCCTAGAATCTGAAAGGTGGCTTCCAGATACACCTGTCACCTGAAAGACACCCTCCGGGATACCGGAGAGGGATCAGGACATCCCCAGGCAATCCAGATTCCACGGCAAACTACGCCACCGCCAAAAACCTCAACAGAATGGGATGGACCCTGGTAC